AGACGTATATTTCATAGCATATAGAAAAGAGGAAAGAAAAAGTATCGTATATAAATAAGAAAAACAATATTTTTGTCATCGCGAACTCAGGTGGCCAAAAACAAGAGACAAAACAAAAACAAAACAACAACAACAACGAGAATATGAGTCGCAGGAGATCGAGGAGTCGTGCGCGGCAAGCATCGCCACTGCCATAAATATCCGCGTTAATAGCCATCGAGCATGCGAACGCCTACATTCATACATATATATATATCGCGTATAATACGCGCGGGAATTTACTTCGCTTGGATAAACGCAAAAGGGAGCAACAGTAGGCATTATACCCGATGATGGCTGGCAAACGTAGCAGGTGTATCTCACCTGAATTCGAATCTATACGAGTGTGTGTAATATACGTGTGTATGAGTTAGCGAAGGGTGCACGTCGTGTCGTGCAACACACGAAGGTTATCATCGCACGAGCACGTGTATCGGTGTACGTGTGTCTGTGCATCAGGTCGCGTAGTAGCATTAGTCGCTGCTGCTGCTGCTCTGTTGCATCGCAAGTTTTTGCCTAGGCTCGGCTCTCTCGCATTCATACCGATCGATGATCCGGTGTTCTTGACCCGACTCCAGCCTACGTGTACGATAAATATTACACATGCATGCGAGCACCCACAACCATCGTACCATGGGTGGTTGTGCAGCAGTAGCAGCTCCAGCCCCCGACACACATACGGACAAACACATCACGTGTTTGTTATATGTATGCCACGATATATGTAGGGTAATATAGAAAAGGCGCGCGACGTATATACGAGAGAATATCGATCGATCTCGCGGGAGCATATAAGGCCGCCAACAAGTGCTCGCTCGCGAGTACACAACTATTTTGCTCGTGCGATCGAGAAAAATCGTTTTCGCTTGCCAAGCCCTCCTTCCAAACCCTCGCGCGGATGCACGAGGATAACTGTTATACATGTACCTCTCGCCCTCTTTCCTCTTATATGAGAAAGTGTATCATACCGCTTGCATCGCGAGCCAAAGTTCGTATTATATACGTTGGAGCTTGCAATATGCCATAAAGAAGCTTCTGTGTTTAAGGTTCAGGTGTATTTACCTCGAAAGGACGAACAATCCGATCAATTTTTTCTTCTTTTCTTGCTCGTTTGCTTCCGAGGGCTAGTATTGTCTTATTACGAGAATGAACGGCATTTTTCTTACTCCTAGTTCGAGCTTTTCTGCAGCATTATTATATTCAATTATTTAACGTGGCAAATGAATCTTTTCCACCAGGGGGTGGAGCGTGCAGCAGTATAGTTTCCATACGGTATAATAATGCACGCGAGCGAGCGCGCGATGAAAAAGTTTCGCATAGACAGCTTTTTACTCTCGCTACATCCTTCTTCTTTTTCTCTCTCTTGAGAATCCCGGCGAGCCAAACTATTTTTGCCCTTATGTATTATTATACATATCTTGCAAAAGAAAGGGGATAAACGGAGATCTTGAGGGAAAAAAAACTTCCTCTCTCTCTCTCTCTCTCTCTCTCTCTCTCTCTCTCTCTCTTCTTTTCTTCCCCCGTCTTTAGTTAGATTATAAAAAACGACGACGTTGAAATAAAAACGAGCCTCCCGTTATTATTACTTTATTTCTCTTTTTTTATGTATGTATTGTATACTACCCCATGCACTGATGGAAATTGAAAGTTTCGCGATGGAGTTTCGTCGCAGCATCGAACGCGACACAGTCTCTCATTCTGTATAGTATATATACGACTCTTGACTTACAGCGCGCTGCAAGTCGTAAAAAAAAGAAAAAAGAAAGAGAGCAAGAAAAAAATGAGAGAGGTACCGGCTTTTCACCGAGTCAGCCAGCTGTAATGGGATTAAAGTTTACGATATGTAAATTTTCTTAATTTTTTACGAGCTTATTACGTGCTCTGTGCGAGTATAACGAAACGAGCCATTTTTCTTTTCTTCGCCAATAGTCGGGCTACATTGTTCAACGCGAAATTTTCTGCAGCGCTATTTACGTAACAATAATCATAATACTGAGTCGATCTCGCGCAAATCGAAAACGAAAAATTTTGCAATCTGATTAATGCAAATACGATGGAGAATTGATGGCACGTTTGTTTGTGCATTTATGTCGGCGCGCATTACGCGTCATCCATTAACGCGCCTGATTAGTGCTTTGCCGCTGCCCGCACTATTGCATTGTTGACTTATCTTGCTAACAGCACGAGAGCAACAGCAGAAGCTCGTAAAAGTCATTATAACAATTGTAATAGCTGCTGCTTATGCTACTATACTATACTCCGACTGTTCTCCCTCTTGTTTCCGCATGTCTGCGTTCGTTCACGTAGTTGAGCTTATATAGCCGCATGTGTGTGTATGGCGATATGGCTTGAAGTTGCGTGTCGACACGCAGATATTAGCAACCATATTTTCGCATCGATCCTTTATGGAATTTAGATTTCTTCTTCACATTCCTTCACGTGTGTGTCCGATTCTTTCAGAAATTCATATAAATGAAGACTAAAATCGCGATTGAAATTTTAGTTGCTTGATATGGGTAATGGACGTTAATTATTGTTCATTGAGGGCTCAGAAACATGTCGAAATGCGTAAATAATGGAAACTTTAACTTTTTTACTAGTTGTTTTTGTACTTCAAATGGACTTCAGTAGTAGTGCTCATCTCGTGTTTGACATTGCCAAAAAATTTGATACTGTTTTCTTGCTATTTTATTTTACAACGGGTGGGTTTTTGAATTCTTTACAGCACTTGCCTTCAGCTCGTGCTATAATCTCTCGTTTTGCTAAGAAACCATACTTGTACTCGTTCAAAATACTCCTTTCTCACGAAAGCCGAAAATTAGCTTCAAAATTGTGTTTGCTGGCTTAGAGTGAGAAGAAAACAATTCATGAGAAAAAGTAAACACAAAGAAAAATACGTATTTGACCTAGCAGGACACTTTAATTGTTTCAAAAATTTAGATCAGTTATAGACCACTTTGGATACGATAATATTATTTCAAGTTTCCACCACCAGATTGCGAAAGCCTGTATCTGTAAATCCGCAAGTAGCAAAGTCCAAGTAATTGTATAATACATTCAATGTATAATACATTTAATTATGAATGGTTCTCGAGGGCTTTTCTAACGTAATACCAAGTCAGATCCCACACTTTTACTGTTTACTATACGAATTTGTGCCAAATGTGTAACCGTAGCTTTCTGTTCATGAGCTAATTGAAGCGCCATCGCTATAAAGCACGAAGAAAAATAAAATATAGAAATTGACGCTGAGCTTCAAACAGTATTAAAACTCAAATAACAGTGTCATGTCAAATCTCTGAAACTGCTAGCAATTTTTTAGTCGGAGCTTACATCGACATAAAACCCATGATTACAGCTTGAGTGTGTAGAACCATATTTTGTCATTGATTCAATAGATAATACAGCCAGACAGATTTATAATATATTGAAGTAGAACGGGTAAGGGCAGCCGCACGCTCGCTTGCTCGCTCACAAAATGCCATCCGCGAGTTTATGCATACATGATAGTTTATCGTTGCACATCGCGTATCCAATGATTATAATGTATTGACAGTAATACAATTTCTATATTCGCGCGCGTGTCGGGAAATCCTTCGATTTCGAGGTCTCGCAGGGTCGCGAGCGGTCGATGGAAAAATCTAGACGTGATATATATTTCTCTCCGCCTCCGTCTCTTCCACCTATGCTCGAGTAACCCAATTCAAAGAGGGAGAAAGAGAGAGAGAGACTGATAGCGACGTGACGATTGATTACCGACTGCATGAGCGGCAAATGTAGGCTTTGCATAGTTGTAGGCAAATAAGCAAGTTGCTGCATTAGATTCAGCCGATTCGTTGACGCTTGACTAATATCTACTCACATAAGGGTGATTCTATTTTAGAAAATATCTGAGAAACGTTTTATCAAGCAGATTCGTGTTTCGCTAAAAGCTCAAGAGTAAAATTTGATTTTCTAAAAATTCAAAAAATTTACTGAATCGTATGTTTTTCCACGGTTCCGTGTTAATTTTTATTCAAAAAGTATTTTTTAATTATATGGGAAAAGACTTGACAAATAAATAATAAAAATAATCCTAGAATTTGTTCGTTTACGCCTCGGTTAAATACTAAAATACATTTTTTCAAAAATCTAAATTTTCGAATTTATATAGCCAAACCGATAAACTACTTATTTACTAAAAACAGGCACTGATTTTTGAGCGTTGAAGAAAAACTTCAATACTTAGTAGACTGATCGTGTTCCAATCGCTTTTTCATCTTTTTAAACGTACAGTTCACTTACGAACCTCACCTACGCTTTAGCAGTACCACCAGAAGCTACAAAGTCGATCAAACTTCATGAATTTTCTGGGCAAAAGGTGAAAAATTGGTCATATTGTCAGAGTCACTCAATATAGCTACAAAACAAACATGTAATTTAATCAATATTGTAGATTTTCATATCCTTCCATTACTAATATTGAAATAAAAAATTATGTTTTCATTCGGGAAATTTTGGCGTCGACTGTTAGTTTTACAATAAATAATATAACAATTGAAATCATCCAAAGAAAATAAAAATTAGGACCTGCGGTTGAAAATTATGAAATCCATTTAAGCTGGAAAAAGCTTGCTCTTGAAAGCGAATTTTAAGCCGAATATTAAATAACCAAAGAAAGCAAAGATACAATTCAAGACATCGGTAATCTTTGCTTAGAAAAAAAAGCAATAATTTTCCACTTCGACGTTGTTACTCGCACGCGTTGAAAGATGAGATGTCAACTCGGATTTACTCTCTTCTTATCCTGGAATGTAAAATAAGTAAGCACTCATGTATTTACAATAACATCATTTAAAAATACGATGAAGCTATCAGGAGCAGAACCACTTGAGATGTGCCGAATACACAATAGAAAATCGTATCGTTTGTTCTAATTGATTCTCACGATTGAGCATTTGTTTACGAAATCAAGCAGACGATGGAAGACACTCGATTTTTCAACTCAGTTGTTGTCGTCGCGCGGGCAAGCACAGTACGAGTACACCGTCAATCGAAAATTGTCAATAAGCATTTTTACGAGTCGATTCTTGCGTTCGCCGTAGTGAAGGAAAAAAATGAAAAAGTCCAAGACAGGTTCTTCGGCAAGGTTTCCATTTTGGAACGATCAGATTCATCGATTCGAGTCGGATTACGCGAAACTGCCGAAGGTGGTTCGCGATGAAATGAACTCGGCGATGGAGCTGATGGAACGGATAACGGAGAAGAGCACCGAGGTTACGATGATCTGCCGGGGCTTCGTCAAGATGAAGAATCCCCTGTACCAGGAGGTGGTTCACGACTCCATGTTCCACGGCATCTGCTTCGCATGGGCGGGCCGCTGTCTGGCATACGCCCAGCCCCGCTCGCTCGAGTACGTCCAGGGCCTGCAGGCGCGCGCCAATCTGCACTATCACGTCGGCAACTGGGACGAGTGTCTGCTGGACGCTCGCGAGGCCTTGGACCAGATGAAGCGCTACAAGCTCACCGACCTGCTGGGCACGGCCAAGAGGCTGGGCGAGCTGCTGGCCAAGGCCGAGGCCAAAGCCATCGAACACCGCCCGGGGCCACACCCGAGCATGAATAATTACGAGCCCCTGGACCTCGAGAACCAGAAGCCTCCGAATGATGGATGTCTGTTCGACGGGGTCGAGCCGGCCTACAACGAGGAGTGGGGTCGTCACCTGGTGGCCAAGCGCGACATCAAAGTAGGCGAGATGATTCTCGTCGAGGACATGGACTGCTGCGTCCTGACCGAAGAAAAGATCCACACGAATTGCTCGCACTGCGCGGCCCAAGCCTGGTGCGGAGTGGCCTGCGAAAAGTGCGTGTACGCCCTCTACTGCTCTGTGGAGTGCAAAGACGCGGCCTGGAGCGAGTATCACGAGATCGAGTGTCAGATCTTCGAGGAGGTGAATCGGCGAAAGAATCGGATGGAGTGTCAGGCCGCCCTGAGGCTGCTTATAAAGTTCATCAAGATGGAGGGATTGGAACAAGTCATCAGAAACACCAACATTTATGACATTTATGCAGGTTTGCGTTCTATTCGTCAGCTTCAAACTTACGAGTTGATTTTCACATTTTTTTTTCTCGATACTCGTATGCACTCAATACAGAACTGTTTCGCAAGTGTTCTTTGGACAACTTGAACATCTTAATTTCCTCCACATACCGTTGGTATTACAGTTTGCTGGATCGAGCCGGCAACGACAAGGACACAGAAATGATCCGCGAGGCGCGTATCATCGACGAGTACGCGGACGCCGAAGAATCCTCTGATAACGATGTCGAGGCTGACGACGCCGTACTCAGCGTCGTGTTGGGGCATTTAAAGCCCGACGATGTCGACGAAGACAACTGCGACTACTGGATGCGGACGGTCAGGAAGATTTTCAAAAGGCTTCAGAGGATTTTCCGAGTCAATTCTCATTGGGTACGAGTGCGCGAGCGAGGTGCATTCTCTGCGTACAATTCAATTATTTTCCATTTACAGTTCGGGTTGTTGCCCCGAAGAAATTCGCCCATCCCTTATACCGCAGAGGTCAAATGTTTCGCTTTCTCTTTTTATTCCTCCTTGATCAATCACGATTGCTTCAATAATTCTGCCCTGGCCATTGGAAAAGGCGGAAAATTGATGGCTTATGCGGTGGCTCCGATAAAGAAAAACGAGCAGGTACTCTACCATGACCATGATTTCTTTCTTATTTCTCGGACCTGCAGTTGAGTACACGCGCATCGATCGATCGTGGCATTTTTTGTTCGTAATTTTTAGGTAACAATTAGCTACTCGCACATGGTACACTTCAAGCTGGATGCGATTACGAGGAGGCTCAACTTAGTTCAGGAGAGAAAGTTTATCTGCAACTGCCGGGGTTGCGTCGACGAGTGGGTGCCAAGGCCACCAAGGGTGAGTTTCAATTCGACGTGGTTTTAGAAGGCGTGGTTCTGCGCCGCTAATTTTTTTTTTTTTTACAATGATTCGACTCGTGATTTTGATTTTTATGCATTTAACCCGTGACAGACTCCTACCAAAACATTGAAGACCAACATTTTTCATACCGCCTTGATGCACCACACGTCAAGCAACAACAATTGGTACTTGACCATGCAGCAAATAATCAGTAATAAAGTCATTGTCGAATTCATCTACAAACAGATATATGAATCCTCGCCAGCGGCGGCCTTCCGCGATACAGGTCATTATCGGCGGTTTATAAATCTGGCTTACCATATGATGTATGGAGTCGAATGGAAAGTACCAGAGCAGTGTCATTTCGATTGAGCTTGAACTGTACAAAACTTCTTACAAAAAAAATATAATTTTGGTAACAATATTTACAAGAAATTTTAAATTTATGACACGTTTTTAATTTGTATACAACGTCTGTACTTTTTTAATCATTACAAATATCATTTTGTAAACTTTTAAGAACTGTATTTTTATTGTACTTGTTTGTGGGATCCAAACTTTTTCATATTTATCATTGTGATCCGTTTTCAATTCTTGCAACATAGATCGACAGTAGCGCAGACTCTGCAGAAAAATCAACTAGCTCGACTGGATGCTGAGTTGAAAAAGTATAAAGATTAAATGGACAAGCCAAAAATCTTGTAAACTCCGATGCTCTTCGCGTGCTCAAACAGAGAAAAATTTATGAAAAGTCACACCAGTTACAGTTGTTGCTATGAAAGATGATGTAAAAGAGATGAAAAAAAATTTTACACAACATAGACATCTTCTACGAGAGTACAATATTCAGATCGTGCACTATTTTTTGACCAATCGCACTTCGCGCACGATGCAACCCGCGTACGTTCGCAATACGTCGCGCACGTGGTCGTAATATTTTGTCGCGCGCCTGAAAAAGTTTCCTATTGGCACGCGTCGAATTTCATATTGCAAGAGTTAGGCGATTTATCGCGATAGTTTTTAATCTTTTTTCTTGTCCTCTCGCTCATGCGAACGAGGATGCAGAAGCGATCGTTCGGTAAATGCGCGCGCGAGGGCGATATCGATCGAAATTGGCGTGTATAAATCAGTCGAAACGTTATCATTACCCGAATAGTTTTCCGAGGCTGCTGCACGGCAGCAGCGCAACTCGCGCGCAAACGTGTATATAGAAAACCGCTTATACGCGAGAGATAGAGAAAGGCAATACGATCCGTTTTTGAACTCGAAACGAAGAAAATATTTCATATCGTTCCTGCGTTATAGCGATCGTAAATCGAGGACGATTCCGGATGAACAAAAAGTATTTATTTACTGCCGCTTTATATCCCGACACATATGTATTTGTATTATCATATACCTTAAAATCTTATGACAAAATCCGCAATAACTTGGTACTTAAACGACGAAGCTCGCGTGTACGTCGTTAAATCTATGAATGCGTTCGTGGGCCTTTGTTACTACACATATAAACGCGGCGACATATCGTATCGGCCGGGAGGCGCGAATATTATCGCTTTATGGAGCGAGACCTGAAGGCTCGCGGATTGTCGATATACGTACGTGGTTATGTAGCATAAACACAATCGACACGCTGCCCGATTATATAGACGACGTGTCATCAAAAATACATTATACGTCCGATCGGTGAATTCGTTCGGATAATTTATACGTAATACGTACGCGTATACTTCCGTCGAAATCCGTTCGTCCGCTGGGCTATTAATCTCGACGAATCAATATTTAAGCTCGATATTCTTTCTGGCAATCTCTGCTGTCGGATGTGAGCGATCCTTCTTTTTCCATCGCGTACTCCCACGACACTTGTACCAGAGGTCATAAATATACATTCGACCTTTGATCTAGATTAATATAACGTATGTAGACTGGAGCACGTTTGATACTCGAGGCTGTCCTAAAATTAATTTTTCTTTTCTTTTTTTTTCATTTTCTTCGGCAAGATCGTTTAATTGTATCGGAAATGAGGACGCACGTCAACAAAAATTTTAATCTTGCGCTAAACGGACCGCTCTAGCTTATTGAAAATTAGTGAAAATGATGTGTATTTCAATTTTATCGTTTCTTCTTATGATGTAAAATGATAGGAATTCAAAATTGTTTTTCTCGAGCAGAATGAACTTTTGAAAATGTTGGTAAAAATAAAAGGTTCAGGATTGCGGAAACAGAAGATTTTCTCAATTATTTCGCATCGAAAGATTTGTGGGTAGGATCAGATAACTGCGCTCGGTGTGTAAGTGAGAAGAATGAAAAATTTCACTTCAACGGTGACGGAAAATAGAAGAATGTGAATCGAACGTGTATTGAATCAGCCAAAGACAACTGCAGACATGAAAATCAAGAATACTTCCCATTCAAGATACTTTCTATATTTTTGTACGCGTTGTTGTGGATAATTATGATAATAAAGGAAAGGTTTTTACTTTCATACTCTAAAGGACGAACTGAATACAAAATATTGTTAATATTTCAGTTTATGTATAAAATATAAGTGAAAGGTTTTCAAAATTACATATCTTATGTGATTTTAGAAGTCTTTATTGCGTACAAATTTCTCCAGACGAGTCTCACGCTCCTAGAATCTGCTAAAATCATGTACTGTATTTTTATGAACTTTGAGAGTATCCTTGCGACTATATGATTTGTGACAAATCTCACACTCGAACCGTTTACTCCGACCATGTAATGTATTTATGTACTTTTTGAGGCTTGTATCCAAATGACTTGTGACAAATATTGCATTCGGAGGGTTTACTACGATCATCTACTCCATTTATGTGTTTTTTGAGGTCGCCTTTGTATCCAAATGATTTGTAACAAATCCCACATTCAAAAGGTTTGCTCCGATTATGTACTGTATTTACGTGAGATCCAAGATGGTGTTTTAGTCCAAACAACTTTTGACAAATCTCACATTCGAAGGGTTTGCTACCATCGTGTACTACACTTATGTGATTCTTGAGGGTACTGTTGTATCCAAATGATTTGTGACATATATCACATTCGTAAGGTTTGAGAAGATTATGTACCGCATTTATGTGTAAGCTGAGGTTACCTTTCCGTCCAAATGATTTGTGACAAATATCGCACTCGAATGCTTTGCTACGATCATGTACTAACATAAGGTGACTTTTGAGTAGAATCTGGTATCCAAATGATTTGTGGCAAATGTCACACTCGAAGGGTTTGATTCGACGATGTACTGCGTTCACATGACGTTCAAGGTTTGGTTTGCGACCAAATGATTTGTGACATATATCACATTCGAAGGGTTTGATACGATTGTGTACTAAACGTATGTGTACATTGAGATCAGTTTTTAATCTAAATGATTTATGACAGATTTTACATTCTAAAAGATTGCTGCAAATATGCACTACTTTTAAGTGTTTTTTGAGGCTACCCTCGTAGCTATATGACTTATGACATATAACACATTCTAAGCGTTGGCTAATATCATGTTCTTCTTGCATGTGAGATTTAAGGTGAATTTTTCGGGCGTATGATTTTAGGCAAATTTTACATTCGAAGGGTTTTATTTGATTATGTACTGCTAAATCAATCAATGAATTTTCAATCATATTACTGTTCTGGTGTCCGTTTTCTAATTTCTTAACTGGTAGATAGTTGTGATACTCAGATTTGCAAATAGTGGCCGATAGAGACTTCAACTTAGGCTTAACCTCACTGCATTCAAAATCTATGAATATTTGTTTATGCTTGTCGTCTGCCTCGTTTTCGTTTTCTATTTTTATAATTGGTGCATAACTTTGATACTCAGATTTGCATGTGTTTATCGCTACAGACTTCAGTTCAAGTTTAACATCTTTGCTCTCGAAATCTGCGGCTACACTTTCATCTACCATTTCCTGGAATGGCAATACCTTATTCATATGATTTGCCTAAAATTAAAACTGTGAAATAGTTTTTGATAGTGCAAAAACAAAGCATGATTAAAAGTCTTAAACTCACTGGTGATTGATAAAAATTAAAGTTTTTCGCTTCGCAAGAGTTTTTTGAATCAAAAATATTAGCATCTGTCCAAGAATCGTCCAATTCTTCCTTTACCCTAAAGAACGATAATGTTTGATCAAGCGATTTCTTTAAACATCATCATGGCATGCAAAAAATGTTATACCTAACGTTGTTCTGTCTACTTTCCATTATTCGCTTGATTATATGTATGCTCACTGTGAATTTTCACTGAGAAAATATTTGAGGTTATATTGCCTCGAGTAGCCAACACTGTATACAATTGTAGCCACTGCAGATAGACTTATGCTCTGTTACTGATGTATATTGATTGAAAATACTTTCCTACCGTGGAATTCAGCTCTTCGCTATCGACTGAACGTACTATATACTCTTAAGTATAAGCAATCGTATACACTTCTGTGAAATTAGATTTATTTGTCAGGCGGAGGCTAGTATTGTGATCGTCGCTCGCGCGCCTCAAAAATATAAACGTAGCGAAAACGGGGCTCTGCCTGTGCTAGACTATGTAATAGTATCATTACTGCCGCATACACATACACATGAGCTAATTAGCTATGTTCAAATTTTTTCCGCATATCAGATTGTCACACAAGTTTTACATAGTATATTTACTTACTTTAATACACAGAGGTGTTCGTATGTCATTAAAACTAAACCTAAATTGACCGAAACTAAACATGAAGTGCTTCGCGCAAATTTACAATTGCGGTACTTAACTTCAAGTTCGAGTATAATTTGCATTTTTCATGAAAAAATCTATTAGGTCTACAATGTTAATTTCCGAATATCACTAGACACTTTTTTTATTGTTTTTTAATCAACCAATTATTTACGAAGGTACGACATTTTAAAATGAGCTTGACATCAAGCTCCTTGTTTAAATATCACTGTCATGGATATGAGGTTCAGGCGAACGATATGTTCGAAGCTTATTTCGCAATTGTCGAAAGAAAATTTCTTTGCATGCAAGTATATCGTAGATGAATATATCATTTGACCTCTCTCTCTTTCTTGGAAAAAAGAAGGCCTAGTATATATAAGCATCTTCATATTTATATTGCCTTCTTTATGTGTGCCAGTGGATACACTCGTCCTGTAACGAAAAAAAGGGAAATATGTTTAGCAATGAGGAGTCTTTATCCCTGAAAAGCATCGAAATATTAAATTCTCGAGGGCTCCGACAAATAAATCAATACGTCACGAGACTATTCATAGGTTTTTTAAACTTTGCGAGAAAAAAACTTCATTCATTGTGGCTATATTTCTGTATTTATTAAAAAAAGCCGAGAAGTAAATTTTTGTATGATGAGCTTTTTTTCCGTTTGCAGCTATATCCTTACAATATAATGTACAGACAAACTCATTCAGTCTCATTAAGGCATATCGAATTTTATGCGCCTCAAAGTCAATTAGCGCAGACGTGCGCGCAAATAATTAGACTTGGCCGTAAAATTTCTAATGGTGATAATTTTCAACAGTCACGTATTCCCATGAGTTGCGCAAACACGATGGTAGTGCCGCTTTTGATATACGTAATGCAATGTACATTTCTGGACGAAATAGATCGATACGTATTATGCTGTTCAATGCGATTTGAGGCGCGCAAGGAATAAGCCGATTGATTAAAATTATACGTCTGTACGGGTGGTGCTTGCACAGAAACAGCAAACAGTATACACAGCTGAAGTTTTTCCTTGATTTCGTTCAAGGATTCGTAGACTCATGACGAATATTCGAATGTAATTTTATTTCTGAAAATTAACGTCGACGTGGCAACTTCGTACGTGTCAATTATATTAATGTATCGTAGAGTCATTTAAAAAATATATATTTTCAAAACGCTCTACAGAAATTATCACAATTATCACAGCACAGAATGCCGTAAACCCGAATAAAACTTTATACAAACTGTAAAAGTAGTTATGGAACTTTATAATTTTCGATCTCTGTCGCCTTAACTATTTATGCAGGATTCTTCATACTCATTTTTCGAGTTTTTTCTTTAAACTGTCCCTTGACCAGCGCCTTGGTGATACATCCTTTCAAATAAATTCCAATGTAAGGAAAATTCGTCTTAAAGTTATCGTAATCTTCGAGCACGGACTCATAGTTGGAAATTTTCAACTTCTCGTAAGCTGCCTCGGAACTGTGCCGACAAACGTCGAGAAGCGTCGCTGTTTCGCTGATCTGCGTCACCTCGGCTCTCCTCAGCTCTTCGTCGATGCTCCTCTGCTCGATCACGTACGAGCGAAACTCGTCATCGGTCGTCGCGTCGATGTAACTCAAATTATACTTGTTTATCAATTCGCGCCCGGTGTGCTCGAGAACGCTGATCATTTTGGCGCTTACGGGTAGCCTGAGTTCATTAAAAACGTTGAGATAATTGTCGATCTCTATGATGGCGATCATTGCGTGTCGCACTTTCTCGCTTCTCCGGGTATACTCCTCGTCGAGCTCCTCGTTGTCTTCTATTATATTGGGAATATAATCGAAATATTTGCGGATCCTCTCGGGATCTTCGACTGCGGATGAAAAGTTACGATGGAGCGTGAATATTTTTGTCGCGCTACGATTCGCTGCGTGCATCGTTTCTTACCGTAGGCCAGCACGTATCTTGCTTCGTAGTATTTCTGGCTGGGCAGGAATCCCATCAAAAAGTGGAGCCACGTCATCGTGCTCGATATTCGAATCGTGAAGCCTCTGCTCTCGAGCAGCTTCAGGATCGCGATCGCGTTCTGGGTCATCTCGAGATTGCGCAGGAAGCCGTTGGACGGCTCCATGTAGCCGCCGGAGAAGTTGACACCCCCGAGGTTGGCACCGTGCCCCAGCAGCAGCTCGACCGCGTCCAGATTGCAGTAGACCACGGCGATTAGCAGGGGTGTCTGGCCGTCGTGGTTTCGCGCGTTGATAACGGCGCCACGCTCGAGCAGCAGCTTGAGCACCCTGAGGCACGGCTCGTTCCTGCGGCGCGGATCGTGGCTCGGGCCGTGGTACTCCTCGAGGTGCCAGACGCGCAGCACCACGTGCAGTATCGTCTCGCCGTTTTCATCGCATCGATTGACTTCGGCCCCGTTGTCCAGCAGAAGTCGCGCGATATCTAGCTGCTTGTCGACCTCGGTGATGCCCGAGTTAAACAGCACCATCAGGGGCGTTCGACCGTTGGCGTCCGTACTATTGACGTTGGCGCCGTACTGGACGAGCAGCCGAATCGCTGCCACGTCGTCACCGGGTTCAGGCGTCGTGCCGTAGTAGTATCGGTGCTCGGAGATGCGGCGGCAAAGATGACTCAGCGGCGTCCTTCGTTTTTCGTTGACGTACTCGTCCGATTTGAAGCCCGTTTGCAGCAAAACTTCCAGAGTCTCACGGCCGTCGTACTTGATCAAATAGCTGAAATTCTTCTTGAATTCCTCGAAGGCAATCTCACTCGTCTCCCACTTCAATAGATTGGCCACCGCAGCGGCGCATTTTTCCTTCACGGCCACGTGCAGATGACTGATCGTGCAGCCCTCTTCGTCCAAGGCCGAGTAATTCACGTGGCCGTAGATTTTCGACAGAGCATCGATCGGTGGTTGGACTTTGGCTTTCAACGAGTCGTGCAGCGCAGTTCTTATGTTATATGTAACGAGAAGGCGAATTGTGATGTCGATGTTCGCGATGCACTCGATGATCTTGGTCGATCCTATGTTCACCAATTTTTTGAGCAGTTCGTTCATTCTTTCAGGCGTGACGCGTTCCAGGCGGTCACGTAAAAACAGACTCATTTCTTGCTCCCGGTCTTCGCGCAAGTTTCCACTTCCGTCACTGCATTCGGAGAACTTCTGCAGTATCGAATTCAAGAGGTTTTCCATTTGTACATCTCTTTGAGCCATGATAACGTCAATCCACGCACTTCAAGCCCAATAATTGCGTTGACTGCGAGATACGATTTTGATCGGCATGTCTCATTGAGAAAAATAAAAATATTTGCGTGTGTGCTTCGTTCCCCAGCCGCTTCGTCAAGAGGCGCGCGCTTTTGTACAATTTCTCTCTGATCACTCAACGGGATACGGAAAATTTAAATACCAATTCCTTCGACTTCGAATAACAACAAAATTTAACCATCAGCATAAATTTAACCATGATAGCAAGAAAGTATACTGTTGTTGATTCAGCTAACATAATTAATAGGAACAATTTGTTTTTAAATATGTTTTCGTAAAGATATTATGTAATAAGTTCTGATTTAGCTTAATTACTACATATGATAAATCTAAAATGTTTTTCGAACTGGCTTTTAAAGATAAAAAAAACTTCAGAGTTCAACAGTGATATCCTTGCAAATGCCGCGTGCTGGCAAGAATGAACTTTTCAAATTTATATTTCTTTCTTACCCTCCCACACACGCGCGTGTTTTCTTTAATTACTCCAAATGCACTTGGGTCGGAGCGACTTTTTCATATCGAACAAAAGTCTGGCTAGTATACATCCTCTCACTGTGTACGAGTGACCAATGAAATCCTTGGGCAAGATTATATTGACCCCCGAGCCTTAATTGACGTTATATACTTTGAGTTACTTTTTCGCCGCCCTTTTCCAACTTGGCCTTTTTCATTCGGTTGAAAAACTTTGCCTTTTTTCTCTGCGTCTGACCGACGAAATGACTCGCTTGCATCCTGCGCGCGAGTTCCTTCCAATTACATACCAGCTGCACGCTGAAAAAAGAATGATTTTTCAAGCGAGAGCTTTCAACGAAGAAAGTTAAGTTTCTGATACGCACAAACAAATCGTGGAAATAGCTCGAACAGTCCTAAATAAGCGTATGCGAGTGTCGAGATGGAAGAACCACTTTAAATTTATTCGCTTTTGCAGGATACATATTAATAACGCTAGACAGAGTAATTTAATTCGATATAAATAAAAATAATTAGCTCGCTCACTATACGCATAATTTAATATCCCGCCTATCTAAAGATGCTTAAATGCACGTATATAATAAGCGCTGACGTACACACACACCTACGCACCCACACATGCGAGTAATTAATGAAATTATCGTTACATCTCGTTATCGCGAGGCGCCCTTTTAGAGGTAGCGTGATGATCAATTACAGCTCCAGTATAGAATAACGTGTATGCTTGCGCTCGCAGTATCATGTGCTTCGTATGTGTGCAAGTAATACCTCGTCGCTCACACACATATGATGCAGCCCACAGACATATCATAACGCTTTGTCAGTATCCTCGTTCAATGGGGGGATTGGCGCGCGCGATGGAACTTCGCGTGCGGCTGGCCTTATTTCGAATCCATATTATCTACCTCGGAGCGGTGCGATATTATTTCGATCGTTGGGCGAGCGGGTATAAAAAAGCTCGCAGGGTGTGTGTGTGGAAGATTGTAAAAGCAGCAGGCGCGCGTGGAGGGATTGATTTTGGGCTGCGCTATCCTACATTCATGCACCATACGAAACGAGTTCGGTGTAGTGGAAATTCCTATTTTGTTTTCTTCCAGTTCTCGACGATCCAACTTTATGGAATTAAATCGAACCGTATGTGCAGCGGCACGATCGTATTGTAACTCGGTGTAATGCACAAAAATCCAACCCATCTCGCGTTCGCTATATAAATCGATTTACCCGTGAACTGCCTTCATAAACCCAGGCACATAACAAACGATCGTTACATCGAGTGAAATTCTCGATAAATTGACGATAAAACGTGGATAAACAGATCGTGAACGATACAAAACATAAAAAATCGAAAGCTTGAAAAATAATGTTGCTGTGGAGAACGAAAAAAAATGAAGCCAAACTGTCGAGTGAAATATCGATGCATCGTTCGTCTCGCGCACTCTGCTCTCGTTATATTTGTAATGCGAAAGAGATCGTGAGGCGCATGTTAATATACGCCAGAGCGAAGCTCGATCCACGCGGCCAACGTTTTATACCTCGAAGTTGCGGTGTTACAGTAGTCGTAGTGGTAGTAGTAGTAAACTTATAAGCGATTCTGCGCAGCTCGACGTGGTGGAGGTGGATAGCAATCCTTAAAATTGAAAACGATCGGCGAAGTATAATCAACGGTGGAGCGCGTGCTGTATAAGAAAAATCATGCCGATGCAATGCATTCTGCTCTCTCACTCTGTATACTCCACGCGAGCAGCAGCAGAAGCAGAGGGGCATATAGCGCCGAAACGTACGTGCGTTGAAAGCTCGATTCGTAGCTCAAGTTCGCCCAACTTTTTCGGATTTACTTTCTTTTTTTTTTTTTTTTTTCATTCCTTCGTTGGACAATTCGATATTTCCGTACATTGCACCAACAGATTGACTAAAAAATTAACACTAATCGTATACATTACACGATAATATCTGTCAATGTGACAGTATAAGCGACAGATTTGATTAAGTATAAGCTATGCAAATGCAGCGATGCTATTCATACGAGTATATAATACATCGTAGCTGTAATGTTTAGACTGAAAAGGACACGTGTGCAATCTGCATAAATGACAACAGGGACTGGATTATCGAATTGCGAGGGATTACAACGTCGAAGGGATGAGAGAATCATGTCAAGGAGAATATGCATTATACACGATTTACTAATCCAATCCAAAGTTCTTATTATGCTCGATGCATAATTAAGCCATCGCGAGCTTTATTATAATACGTAATCGCAGATTTAGGCGATGATCGTAGCAATCCACGCTTCAAATTCATCGTACAAGCTCATTCGCGTATAAAAAAGAAAAAGGGTACACGAAACGTAGGGTATATACACGATATATCGTTGTTGGAACAACATATAGTTTTAGAAAGCAGTCGAGGCGGAATCGATCAATCCTCACGGACGTTTTACTCCGCTTTCGTGCATAAATGCCACGAGCATAAAAGTGCGCGCATACAGGGCTCGCGCACCCGAGCTTTTCGGCCTACATAAAACTGCCCGAGACGAGACGAAAGAGAGAAAGAGAGAGAGAGAGACCCGGTAAGCGACGTGTGCACGTATAACACGTAAAGCATTGCACACTTGTAATACCCACGTAGCACACATGCACACATACACACAGACGAACGAGGACGTCATGATTCAAGCGTACAAGCGTAGATCGGACGAAAGAAAGAATGAAAGAATGAAAAAGGAAGAGAAATAAAAAGAAGGAGGGAATAAAAATTTCGACACTCTGCACTGAGCCCTCTTGGATGTACTCGTGTGTGTATGTATGAACTAGGAACACTGCATGCGCAGCTTTACGTCACTGACCGTGACTCTCGCACTGCGGACTTTTATCCTCGCCTGCGCGCGAATAGTATACATGTATACAGCGAGCAACATTATATACATGTATTCGCACGCGGTTGGTGTTGATCTCGTCGCGCGTACTGCACTTAGATATCTTTACTTAGGCGCTGAAATGTACTCGCTCGAGCTTATATTGTAAGACGTAAAATCGATAAGAAGCGATCCATGACGAGCCCGACGCGTTGAATGACAATTGCACGAGCTGCTGCTAAGTGATATCCTGTCCCCAGCGGCCACAGAAAAAGAAAAAAGATTTTCTTCGTCATTCGTGCATATAGGATAATAATATCGTTTATGCTCGGCCGTTCAAACGAGGAATTTTCATTTGGGGCCTCGTTCGATCTCTTCATTATCGAGGACGAGATTTTTTTATCGCGTTAGAGAAAATATATAATAGAATTTTCGTCGATCCTCGAGGCATCGTCGCGTCGTATAAGTATATAGTCACCGCCACCACGCGCGTCTATGTTTAACGAGTTTAGAATTTAACCAAGGCATATCCTTGGCCGAAGAAATTATTCATCGCGTCGAGGCAAGGAAAAGAGCGAGAGAAAAAGAGAGAGAAAGATAGAGGACTCAAGTATATTATACAGCTGGAAAGGAAGACATCAAATTTTCAAAGGAACGTCACTCCTTTGAGAGAGAGAGAGAAAGAGCAGAGATCGTTCCGTCCTGCTCTCTTCGTGCGCGCACACCGCTTTGCTGATGACCTCAGTCTCTGTTTAGGCCAGTAAACCGCAAAGCACTCGTGATTAATGCATGGATGCGAGGAGGCGCGCGAACATCTTCTGCAAAATTTAAACAGAAAGCCAGAGTTGCTCTCTCGGAGACTTCGGCATTACGTATTCCCATTGATTTTTCACGCGCGGTCGGACGTACTTATCAAATTTACTTCTCTCTTTTTTTCAATTTGTTTTTTCTTCAAAAATTCGATTTTATTGTCGAAGTAAAAGAAAATAAAAAGAAAACAAATAATAATAATGACGACAATGATGATATCTATCAAGGACGCGACGAGCCGTGCAAACGTGTGGGTGAGGCGAGCGATTAGACGCACACATTGTATAGTTGTGTATCGCAAAAGCACACGACGGCGAGTATATACAGTTGGCTGCTCGCGACGACAACAGATGTTGTTCGCAATCAATCGTTCGATAAGGTATATAGTATATAACCTCGAGGAGACTTTTCCGATCGTATACGTGTAATTGGAAGAGTCCCGAGCGCGCGATTTCCACTCACGTCTATACCGAGTATGTTGCCTGCAGCTCGTTGTGATTTTTACTTTCATTTCTATTTTTCATTTCAATGTCACGATGACAGATTGACCCGTGACGTCGTCGCCTCGTTGTCTCGATCGGCTGGCGGCCGTTTATACGCCAACTTCCTGACATTACTTTCTGGCAATTGCCAGAAGAAATGAATTAAAAAAAAAAGAGTAGCTAAGAAGTATAACGTTTAGCTCGAGAAAAGAGCCATTATTTGAACGACTAGGCAATTTCGCTAATTTACTCGCGCACTTCGTTACTCACGTGTAACTTTACCTTAGTCTTATATATTGCGAAAAACCCTAAAAACGCACGAGTTTCCCTGAAATTGCTCATCTAAAAATACATACGTCACGCGCATTTCAGTCTCGATTGTGTATCCGCATACTGTTTACATAAATAAAAAATAGGTGCAGGCGCGAGAGAGTCGCTTGTAATTTATTTTTTACCCGATGAGGAAGTTTTAACGAGCCCCCGCGCAAAG